AGCGTCCATGCTGGCAAAGTCCAGATGTGTGCCAAGACCAGTTGACAGGATGAGGCCGGGGTGAACACTGTAAGATTGAAGACCACGGCTTCCAAGTTTTTGGGCCAGAGATACAGAGAATAGCATGTTTGCAGTCTTGGATTGACCGTAAGCACTCCATTGGTCGTAAAGCTCGCCGTCCTGTTGAAGTCAGTATGGTAGAGTGTGCAAAGCTGGATGACTTACACTGAAGTGAGGATCAGCAAAGCGAATAGGACCAAGACTGTGACCATTGCTCGAGATGTTGACAACGCGAGGTGACTCCGAAGCAAGAATCTTATCCATGATCAAGTTCGTCAAAAGAAAATGTCCAAGGTGACAAATAGCAAACTGCATCTCATAGCCATCCACACTCTTGGTATACGGAATGGTCATGACTCCAGCATTGTTAACAACGACATCAATGCTAGGCACATCATTCCAGCTGTTGACCTCCTCAGCAGCCTTTCGCACCGACGCCAAAGAGCCAAGATCTACTACAAGAGAGCGAGTCTTGACGGAAGGGTTGGCTTTAGTGATGGCTTCAGACATTTCTTGGAGTTTGGAGGCGTTGCGGCCTGCGAGGATGAGAAGAGATGGGGATTTGGAGGCGGATTCTAGGATGAAGGTTGCGCCGAGACTATTGGGCGTGACACCGGTTGTGAGAATTGTTTTGCCCTTGATTACGTCGGCATATTCGTTGACGAGATCGTTGGTGGTGGTTGAAGCAGAGTGAGGAGACATGGTGATTGAATTAATAGCTGATGAATGCTCAAGTTGTGTTTTGTAGTGTATTGTCGAGTGTATGTTTTGAATTGTGAGTGTCGATGGTGATATGTCTGTTCAAGTGGGAATCTCCCATGATATTTATACTAAAACCCATTTCTAAAGTCCGAAATTGATGTTGTTGAGATTGTATGGTGCATACGAATAACATGAAGTGCGGTGTTGCAGTACATCGCGGCTGGCGTCAGCCATCGGCGTAGGAGGGGCCGATGCTGACGCTTTTTCGCCAACATGTCCGAAAGGCCAATCATATTGTGAGTTGATTGAGACAACCTTCGCTTTCGGACTTTAGAGCAAGGGTATTATCGTACTGCATGATGACGGCAAAGGTGCATCGATGCGTCTATAGATCCCTTTTTGGACTAGAAAGTGCATAGGATGAAAGGCCTGGAGGAACCATTGAAGCTGCCCGAAAGTCCGCCAATGAGGTTCACGAGCGGTTTCATCAATCGCATCGGAGACACTGAAAAGTACCAGATTTCTATTACAAACTCTCTCTCAATTTCAGAGTAATTCCTCCGGTTTCTCGGTCTATTGCTACTAAGTTTGCTGCACCGTCGTGGCGTATGCCCTCACCAGAGGATAGGCAGAGTAACTGCCCCAGAACACACTGCACCAACATCTTACATAGGATCCGGGGAAATATCGCTTTTACTTCTTTCTTGATTTCTGTGGAGGAGATCTAGAGTCCCTATATGTACAGTGAAAGCAAGTCTATACCTTCTTTTACCATATAACACCTAGGTATCCGCTTCTATCCCAACGCCATCCCATAAGTGCAAACCCCATATAGGCAGATATAACCATCAACTCTTCACATCTCATCGCCTAAGACAACCTCCCACTCCTGCAGTACAGTCGGTTCTTGCACCGCACCTCCCGAAATCCCACTCAGCCACGCCCTGCACGCTTCAAGGTGCGCATACTCTGCATCATCGTGACCTCTTAAACCCTTCATCTTGACATCCGCGACTTCCAACACGCTTCTGCCTGCTGCATCACGAACGTGAACACATGCGCCACTCTCAACGAGTTGTTTGACAGCGAGTTTGTGACCGCAGCGAACAGCTACGTGCAGTGCTGTTTCGCCCGATCGATTCCGAGCGTTGACTTGTGCGCCAGCATCAATAAGCTCTTGAATGATATCGGGACCGATTTTGTAGTCATCATCTTCGGGGAGTTGAGCGACGAAGGCCATTAGGGGTGTGTTGCCGTGGATGTCGTAGTGGTTTGGATCGACGCCTGCATCGAGAAGGTTCTGGAGGAGAACAAGACGGAATTGTAATCTATCGGTGCACGAGTCCGAGTTCTTAACAGTCTTGTCCCTTCTGCGTCTTCGGTCGATTGGCGCGCCGTTCTCATCGAGGTAGTACTTTTGCGTGATACTGGTTTCACTGAGTGTGGCGGCTGCGAGACAATGGAGTCCATTACGACCCTGATTGTCTTCAAGTCGGGGGTTGAGTTCTGCATCATTGATGTACTTGAGGAGTTGTGTCTCCTGGTGGATATCGTCAAAGTGCCAAGGATCAGCGATGCTAGCTTGTCGAGACATTGGTACTGGAGCGTCGACATCCATAGCCTGTGTGCTGGCTCTACTGATACCCAATCCAGGCTCGGGGATCGCTGCGTAGGTAGGTGTTACGTTGAAGGCGTCCCTCTTCTGATAGCTAGTCGCACTGCACAGTCCCAGTGCATAATTGCGTAGCTCAGGTGGTGTGTCCCGCAATAAGAGAATATGCGAGAATGAGCGTCCATAGCAGTCGCGCGAACTGAAGTCGAATCCTTTGTGGGCGAGTGCATCCAACAACTGCTTTAGCAACTCCTGGTTTTCAGGTTGAAACCAAGTAGTGTGCAATACGTGACAGAGTGTCTGGCCCGCTGTATTCTGCACATTCAGGACATCGTTGGCCTCAACCGAGATGATCGCTTGAAAAAGGTAATCCGACAAGAATCGTGCAGCCATGAGATGAAGTGCCGTATGTCCAAACTGATCGCGCTCTTCAAATAAACTACCATGGACAGCTGCTGATAATGCATTGGTGCCAGTTTGAGTAGGGCCATGTGCTGTGATCCAAGCCGGCTCTTCGATCTCGTGAATCGGGCGGCAGAAACAAGCCAATTTTTGATGGATCTCATCTTGCGGAAAACATGTATAGTGGGCAAATTCGTCGAGGCAGAGGAAGTTTCCGGGGAGGTAATAAGGTCCCATGGGCAAGTGAACTGGTGCGTCACGATCGTTGAGCCATGATGCTACACTTGGCTCCTCGTCTGAGATGGGAGATAGACTGGCTCCTCGACGGTTGAGGGGCGCTGTATATCGCTTTATGAGGCGCTTAACAGTCTTGACGTACGGATGTGAATAGTCATTGAGTATTTGCCGTAAACTCCCGGTAGTGCAGTCCGTCGACGTAGTCATGAATGTAGGTCGCTGTAAGAAGTTTCGAAAAGTGCTGTTGTCCTCCTGATTTTGTTGGATCTGTCTTTGAGCGGCCGTTCCATTATTTGGGACAAATTGCTGCGGATATTGGTTAAAGGGAGGAACCTCGAGCGAAACTCTGGTACCGGGATCTCGAACAAGATGCGGCGTTGGGATAGCGTTGAGAGCTGGAATAGGTCCAGAAGCTTGAGTTGGAGATGCGACAGAATTATGGGTTGAGCTGGTGCGTGTAGGAGAAAGAGCCAGCTCTTCTAATCGACGAACCATGTCATCTTCGGTCTTGGGGTGAAGCCATCGTGGCTGTTTGTTGAGCATCGCATTGAGTGTCTTGTGGGCGGAATCTTTACTATACAACTGTTAGTGTATATCCACAGCGCAACGTCAAGAAACACATACCCAGGCGCAGGCGTATCGGGAGATTTAGCATGAACGACCGCCATAATCTTCTCCAAAGGGAGCGTAGTATAAAGATAAAGCCGTGAGACTTTTCGTCGCGACGAAGGCGTCCATAGTGGCGGTCTTCCAGTTGTGGTATTGTTAGATCCGCTAGGCGAAGCAGATGATATCGGAACTTGGAGATTAAACGGCGAGGCAACGTTATTGTTCATTGCGCCGAGCTTTGATTCACAATCAACAACAAATGGAAAAAAGGCAATCAGAGGAATTCCGATGCTGCTTTTAGCTATAGTTCACGAGGCTGTCATGATGCTGATGGTTGATACGGGAGTTGCAAGCTTATAAGTCAGCTCCCTCTTAGGCCAGAGTCATAAGTCAGGTCGCTAGAGGGCAGTGGTGATGAGAAAAAAGATGGCCGCCAGAACAGGCCGGCGGGCCACAAATAACCTGCAGCAGACTGTGGAATGGGAGAGGTGCTGCGCCTCAGCGCTCGCAGGAGGCCTGTTCGGAAAGAGGTTGCGAGTGCTACAAATGGATGTTTGCGTGAGACAGAATGTGCTGTAAATGGATAGGTAGCTAGAGAGCATAAGTCCGTAGGAGGTCTGAGTGCCGTGTTCCCGATGCATTGACGTTTGTGATCTGGAGATAGACGAGGGAGATAATCTAATCTGCAACTAAGACGCTGAGGCCATTCCCGTAGACAGCTATAATACAGGCTGTTCGATAGTGCTACAGGGTCTCCAAGTTATGGACAGTTCCCACCAATTACTGCCAATATGGGGCATTTCAATAGTCTGAACTTGAATACAGTTACGTCAAACCTCTTAATCATTTGATCAATTAAATGATGAAATATTCAATTCTCCATCACGGAACTAGAGCCGAACCTGTCAATTCAGAGGGAACCTAGGTCGCTGCCCTGGCATCAGTGGAACACATGCAGAGGCGCAGATCACGGCTGTGCTTACTGTGGCTCCAGGCACAAAAAGCCTTGCGCCACACCAGCGAGGCTTTTCGGCATCACCACCAACATCTATGCAGTATTTCAACGAAATGCTGCTTCTTCTTTTATCAATAGCGGGGAGGAATGATGTCAATATGGTTGAAGACAAGAATAATTTCTGAATTGATACTGACGATGCTGGAAGTGCCGAGACTGAAGAACCAACTGAACGGCTAGGGTTGGATTAAATTGAACGGACATTACGGAGTAGACATACAACGGATCGGGTGCTTCATGTATTTGATTATCGAATGACTTCTGTTTAACAGAGCTCACCAAATATTCCGAGTTATTCAATTATCAAAAAAGGTTCCCCTTGGCATCCCTTCTTTGAAACGTCTCCCTCCAAGCGCGCCATGTATGTCATCATCCCTTGCATTCGCCGCCTCATTAGTTGAAACAGCCGCGCTCGACATCTCTGTAAGTCATCCGACCTCAAAAACCAGACAGTTCCACCCCGCCATAAATCCAGCTACCATTTATCAACTTTAGCGGTAGAATCGGTTGGTTGTTTGTAGCCACGACGTCGTTTCTTCCATGGCTGACTGTTGAAACCTTGAAGCCATCAACGACACCATATCCTCCTTGTGATAGCTGGTACGTAGACACTATGTCATCGATCGAAACGTTGCGGGTGTGACGGGACAAAGGGAGAATTGAGTGATGGGACATCCTCAGACGACTCATGGATCTCATTCAAGAAGTTGTTTGCTTCCCTTTGTTTCGTTCTGAAGAGCCAATCACGGTTATTCTTAAACCTCCGAATGTTTCTATCACACACCCCTGCATAGCCTATACTCTTCAAAGAACTTGACAACAGTTCAAGACAAACCTCTGCCAGTCTGGCTCTCTATCTCAACCCATTATCTGGCACCCTTTGTCACTTTCTCTCTCTTTGCCATCCTCACCGATATTCTCTCACACCGCAATCAAAAGCCACATTTCCATTCAAAACACGCCTATTTTCTAGAACCCTTCCACACGCCACTATCTACTTCCCGCATTCCAGAGCAGAGACATGTCTCCCCTTTTTCTCCTCAACGGCCACAAGCCTTTTTGACTTTCGGGAAAAATCCCGCCCTGCTTCTGTTCCCAACGATCCGGTTAAAACGGTCCCCTAATTTGTTTTGCTCACCCCCTCCTCTTTGTTCTAGCGCTGTTCCACATGATGAATCGAAGGAGAAAGAGTTTGGGAAAACTGGTATCACATGGAGACACTAGTAATGACAAGGGATTAAGTGAGTTCACGTGATAAACGGCCGAGCTGGTGAGCTGCGAGACATGGACTTGGACATAAAGCAGTCAGTAAGTTGTTCGAGTGTTAGTAGAAAAGACATTTTGGGAATCACGGGGAACAAAGACGTATTAAGATATGTCTATAATTGATGATGTGGTATCTTCAACAACAAAATTACACAATATTATCCAAAAATCGTAACCATTCTTTCTACCACTACTTGGCCGAGCCAAGATCGTCTAAATCATACTATGTACATAGTGAAGCTTATTATGTTTGTAATAAATAAACAGCAAAGGGAAAGTTTTATGTTCCATGATGCATTTACAGAAGAACGGCAAAGATACCGGCGGCAGCGACGGCCATCTCGACACCGAAGCGAGAAGCACCGGCAGTGACCTCGACAGCGGGGGCAGTGCCAGTGGGGGCGTGGTAGGGGAGAGTGGCAGAAGGCTGGCTGGGAGCGGGAGCCTGGTAGGTCTCGGTCTTAGCAGGAGGAGCAGGGTAGGCAGGGTGCTCAGGCTGCTCAGGCTTGGCGGGAGCAGAGTGCTCGGGCTTAGGAGCAGGGTACTCAGGCTTGGCAGGAGCAGAGTGCTCGGGCTTAGGGGCAGGGTACTCAGGCTGAGCGGGGTGAGAAGGCTGCTCAGGCTTGGGAACGACAACGGTAGGGTAAGAAGGAATCTCCTTGGTACCGGTGGCGTAGACGGTGGTCTGCTGAACGGTCTCAGTGGTGACAGAGCCGTAAGGGCAGTTGGGGACCTCAGGACCGCACTTAGTAACGGTGTAGACCTTGGTGAGGTAGGCGGTCTTGGTGGTGTAGAGAGTGCTGTGGGGAGGAGGAGCATAGCCAGTGGGCTTGGCGGGGTGCTCCTCTGTGACAGGGCAGACGGTAGTAGAGACAGGGACGGTCTCAGTAGTGACGGAACCGTAAGGGCAGTTAGGGACCTCAGGGCCGCACTTGGTGACAGTGTAGACCTTGGTGGAGTAGACAGTCTTGGTGGTGTACTCAGGAGGAGCGTAGCCGGTAGGCTTGGAGTGCTCCTCGGTGATGGGGCAGACAGTGGTAGAGACGGGGTAGCTCTTGGTGGTGACGGATCCGTAAGGGCAGTCCTTGACGGTAGAGGCGCACTTGGAGATGGTGTAGACCTCGGTAGAGTAGACGGTCTTGGTGGTGTAACCAGTGGGCTTGGGGTGCTCCTCAGTCACAGGGCAGACAGTGGTGGAAACAGCAACGGTCTCAGTGACGGTGTAAGGACCGTGAGTTCCGTAAGGGCAGTCCTTGACGTAGTCAGGGCACTTGGAGTAGGTGTGGACAGCAGTGGTGTAGACAGTCTTGGTGGTGTAAGGGACGGTGTAAGGGACGCTGGCCTCAGTGGTCTTGGTACCGTGGGATCCCTCAGTGGTGGAAACACCCTCAGTCTTGGTCTCAGTGCCAGTAGGAGCGGTCTCGGTCTTGGTCTTGGTGTTGACGGGAGCGGTCTCAGTCTCAGTACCAGTAGGAACAGTCTCAGTCTTGGTCTTGGTGTTAACAGGAGCAGTCTCAGTCTCGGTGCCAGTAGGGGCAGTCTCGGTCTTGGTGTCAGTGTTGACAGGAGCAGTCTCAGTCTTGGTCTCAGTACCGGTGGGAGCGGTCTCAGTCTTGGTCTCAGTACCAGTAGGAGCAGTCTCAGTCTTGGTATCGGTGTTGACGGGAGCAGTCTCGGTACCAGTAGGAGCAGTCTCAGTCTTGGTCTCGGTGCCGGTAGGGGCAGTAGCAGTCTCAGTACCAGTGGAGAGCTCCTCGGTGGTAGAGTCGCAGTCCTCCTCCTCAGTGGTGGTGTTGGTCTCAGCAGGGGCAGTGGTGGTCGAGGCAGCCTCGGTGGTCACACCAGTGGCAGTCTCAGTAGACTGAGAGGCAGTCTCGGTCTCAGTCTCAGAGGTAGCAGTGCCAGCCTTGGTAGTGGCGGTTCCGGTTGTAGCGGTGTCAACCTCAGTGGTACCGGTAGTGGCAGTCTCAGCCTCAGTGGTAGCAGTAGTAGCAGTCTCGGCCTCAGTGGTAGCGGTTGTGGCAGTACCAGCCTCGGTGCTAGCAGTCTCGGTGGTAGAGACAGCAGCAGCAGTGGTGGTAGTGGGGAGGACACAGGTGCAAGCCTCCTGGAGAGTTTGACGGTCAGCGCAAGCTGAGGGGAGATTACAGCTCTCGATGGCTTCGCAGAAAGTGGCACCGACGGCGTGGACAGCCTGGTAGCAAAGGTCATCGGTATCACACTCGCATGTCTCCGTGGAAGGAGGGAGCTCGTTGTATCGGGGGGAGATGTTGGCAGAAGCCAGGCCAAAGGCCATGGCCATAAAGACAGCGCTCTTCATTATGTTGGAAAGAATGTACAGATTCAGTAATGAACGAATGGACTGCGGTAGAACTCTGAAGAGTTACTTATATTCCGCGAAGACTTAATAAGAGAGTGACAAGAAGAGGAGTGAGAAGGAAAAGAATGCCCATGTAGGTCGGAGGATGGTGTTTATATGCAAGAAACGACCGAGTGAGCCTGGTCCGCCCATCCATTCATCCCCTACCCTGCCTCTCTCCCCCATCTCTCTCTCTCTCTCTCACTCACTCTCTCTCTTCTCATCCTCTCGCGGGCGTGGGCCGTTGGGCGTGGGTGGGTGACCCATACCCAGATTTTGATAGCGGGCCTGAGCTTCGCGTTAGTTTAGGGCGCTATTGAGCAGGGCTTCACACCCATGTGAGAGATGAGCAGATGGAACTAATCCAGAACGAGAGCCCTGCTCAGTGCAGTGCTGTAAATAACGGGCTCTGGTGCCGTCAGCCCGGCCTTGGCCGTGAAAGGCGCCTGTTGGAAAAGCAACAGTCGGACAAAGTGCGTGCGGGTCAAAGAATGATGAAAGTCGTTAGCCACTTGGGTAATGGTGCGCTGAGTCGGGTCTCCACAGGGGTGGTCCCCTGACCCCTGACTAAATCGTGGCTAAACTAACCGCCTTGGGCGTTGTTAGCGGGGGTCGCTAAGAGGCAGTCGCCGAGAGCTGCGGTGGAGCGATACGATACTGGGATTAACATACAAGGACTTCTGTCTATCTGAGCCGGGGAGACGTTTACAAACATTCAACCTTGCAAGGCCTAAAGCTGTAATAGCTAGTAGGGATGAGTCGCCGAGCAATAGTTTTGCGTCGGATGTCGCACCAAATAATCCGGTTCTTCGATGGTTGACGCTATTGCACCTCGTTATTTCAGCTCGAGGCTAGACCAAATCGTTCGCGATAACCTTGATTAATACGAATAACCTCCTGGAGTATCCCAGCAGCTGAGGCTGTCTATTGCTTCCTAGTTGCTGTTACCGATAGGGGTAGTGTCCTTCATTTCCTGTATAATTCCATGCAACTGTAATAATCGCATGTTGTTAGTCATCGGCAGTTTGTATTGTTCCTCTGGGTAGCCTTTGTCGGCCATTCGATCTAGCTTCAAAGAAGGTTTGTTATTTTTAGCGTTCAGTGATTCACTCTATCGTCTTCTCCGGAGCAATATGGAGAATAGGAAATTAAGCAACCCATATCGGCTTTGTTAGTGAGGGGCAGTGACAGACAATACGTTACCCTACGGAGCGACAACGACCGAAGAACCACAGATTCCGAGTTTTGGCATCTAGAATTTTCACTGATCGTCATGACGATCACCGAGATCTTTGCTGGAATCTCATCGATCGTGATGATAGCCTATGAATGGTAGCATCATAACTCCCAAGGACCGAAGAAGCCGTTGGTTTTAGTGGGAATTGTTTCCTTGGTCTGCTTCAAAGAAGCCCCTCATGATGACTTGTCTGTACTCCACCAACTTACAGAGCCGACGTTTTGTCTTCCATTGTTATCTTTCTTTACTCTCGATCAAGAGTATTTTTAGAGCAAAAGAGGTAATATTGTTTAACTGTTGAAAACTCTTTCGTCTTCTTTTGGTTCTTTCATCTTCATCAAATGCCGTTTATAGCATTGTGCAGCCTTCACATGCTGTTTTTGTACCACACTGGAACCAAAAACGTCCATCTTGTGTGCCCGTTGATTTCTACCAATAGCCATCGCACGATCAACACTGAAAGTTCGGGTACCTGACAGCATGCAGATTTTAGCGTCCGCAATCTCCAGAGTGTGTGGATGACACCGACACAGGGGAGGAAACACACAGAAACACAACCAAGCGTCATAGACGGTGCATCAAGGCTTGCATTAACCCAAGGGGGAGATTAAAGAAGGATGAACCCAATTGCCACGAAAAAAACGGGCATCCAAAGATCCGGTTGTTTGGTGGCTTGGGCACTTTGAAAGAATCCATGGGAAGCGCTACGAGAGCGTGCAATTTGCATCATTCGCGCTGTGGCGTCTTCTAGAGTCCAATTAGCATCCGTGACTCGCCCACT